TTTTTTAGATATGAATGACAGCTACACATTAGCAGTACATTAAGTGTATATTTACAATTAGGGAATACTTACCAAGTACTCAAAAAGTTCCCTGTTGCTGGGAAAACCATCTTGGTCAGTATTACATTCCTAAGATAAAGAACATACATATATATAGATATATAGATATACACACACACACACACCTTTATAACATGAATACATTTTCCACTTACCATGCCGCATAGGTCTATATCACTATCACTATGGTCATCATTGTCAGTCTTATCTTTTATTTCCTCATGGTCTTTTTCCTGCAAAAGTAGTAATACGTTAGTTTCCTAAATGTTTACTGGGGAGGGGGGGTAGTAATGCCACGTCTGAGTCCCCAGAAATAAGATCTGACATAAAGAAAGCCATATAACGTGGTGCAAAACAAATATATAAAAGCATATACCATGGCTTAATAAAAATCAGAAAAGCTTATTTAGCCCATTCTTGTCCATGTTTCTATCCTCTATACTGCAGTATGTGCAAATATAGGTTTGGTCTCACCAACTAACAAAGGATGGGTAACTGTTACCTAAAAGTCTACAACCTTTCTTGGCAAGCCTTACACCTGGAGAAGAATAGAAGTCAACAGGAATGGAGTTAGAACACATTGGCCATTCATTATGCTGCTGAACATGGTCCGTTTCTTTTTTGAACTTGCAGTATCTCACTTGCACTGGCAGTATCTCACCTTTGACAGTGTGTTATCTTATTTCTTTTGGGCTTTGGCACCCTTCTAATAGTAGGGGTTATTTATCGATCACAATTTTAAATGTGGTTATTCTAATAGGTACTATTGTATTGTCACTTTTTTTTTTTCTTCAATGACACAATCACTTTTGTATTCACTGGAGATTATTCAGTCTCTCTGCAAATTCTTCATATTGGCTATGGGTTAGTAGGGGATTAAATGTCACATTGGCGTATTTGCACTAGTCCAAATGTCTACAGGTTGTTAGAATTGACTTACTGAGAGAGTATAGGATAGATTAGGAATTTACTTACATTGGGATATTACAGGTTACACCACACTATATGTCGGATGAATCTAATTGGTGTTTTGAGCCAATTAAAATGTTCGGGGTGCAAGCACGCTGTGATCCAGAGCAGATAGGTTATAGACTCACACTGCAGCCTTCTGGCACTAGAGGAGAACCTGTGATGCTCACCCCAGCTCCACAGCCTTACTTTTGGTACCAACGGATAGACAAACACACAGGCAACGCAGCCATGCCTGCAAACGGATCCAAATCCAAACACAAAAACAAGATCCATAAAGGATGTATTGGCCCACACTTCTTCCAAGATGGCGCCACCACACACAGCAAAGCCGCCCCCTCATAAGATGCAGACAGCAGAGACAGCTCGCCCTCTCCCAGCAGGGACGACTCAACCCACCAAGAGCTCTTGAAACGTACAGACCGTATGCTTCAAAAAGCCCTGCAACAGACTTCCAAACAAGTCAGTGACAAACCCACTAAAAAAAATGTGACCTTGGACACAGAACTGCTGAGCTCGAGTCCAGAATGGATGTGACTGCCTCAGCTCTGGAAGCCCATGACTGAGAAATTGACTCCAAGAAATAAGACAATGCTCTACTATCATCCAAACTAGAGGATCTCGTAGCTCAAAGCTCAGGGTTCGTGGAATCCCTGAATCCATCATGGACCTCCAAGCTTTCACCAAGGCACCATTAGGCACCATTGTTAGAATGCTGGTTCTGAACAGAAAGTTTGATGGGATTTATTGAAACCAGTATATTTGACCAATTATATTTATTTCAAATGTGCTTATTTGATTATTGGAAGCTGGTCAGTATAGAGGTCCTTTCCTAGGGATCTTTTTATATGAGGATGCAAACTTAGGGTATTTCTCAATATAGGGTTGTTAATTTATGGGAGAGCTACCGCTCTGGGAAGTGCTCATCAGGCTCTGAGTATAATTACCTGAAGCCATTATATTGGCTAATTTGTAATAACACAAATTATTAAAAATTATTATTGTGTAAAACAAAGATTATAAGGCCTACTTATATTTTCCATAGGATTAAATAGAATGCATATTATATATTCCTTTAGGAATTTGTGATTCGTTTTTAAATCCTTCAGTCCGGATCCCTCTTACCTTTCTCACTTGTTTGGTGATCGTGAAATAGCCCTTGAGAGCATGGATTTGGACATTTTTTTTAGCATAAAGAATGTTTATTTTGTTTCTATTTGTAATTGGTTTATGTTATTATGTTGTTTGTTGAAGTTTTGCATGGAATGTGTCAGATTTGGCTTTTTTTTTCTCCACTTGTTTGTGCCATACCAATACAACCAAAAAAAAAATAAACATGAGAATGCCTAAACATTAATTTGCAATTGCTACAATTTTCTGTGCAAACTGGTGCATTATCTGACAGAAATGCAGGGGTGCCAATATTTTTGGCCAGGACTGTATATATGAGAACGGTATAATTAATATATATATATTTGCTTCTGACCTGAAGAAGAGAGGTTCACTCTCGAAAGCTTGTCTTGTATATATTTTGTTAGTCCAATAAGAAAGGTATCATTGCACACTGCAATACTGCGTTTTTGTCTTTTTTGACATCTTGTCTACTGGACTAATACGGCTTACCCATTTATATTGCAATATATTTTTAT